AGGAGGAGGAGGAGGAGGAGGAGGAGGAGGAGTTCGACAGTGACGAGAGCCTGGTGGATTCTGACTCTGACTCAGATGAGAAAGGTGCATTCTGAGATGCTTTTATTACAAATGTCCAGTCAGCCCCTTTTATTCCCTTTTAACCCGTGGCTCCTCATCTCTCAGTCAGCTTACAGGCCGATCTGGCGGACCTGACGTGTGAGATCGAGATTAAGCAGAGACTCATCGATGAGCTGGAGAACAGCCAGCGGCGGCTCCTGATGCTGAAGAGCCAGTATGAGGAGAAACTGATTCTGCTCCAGAACAAGATCAGAGACACACAGCTGGAGAGAGACCGCGTGCTGCACAACCTCAGTGAGCGTCTGCCAACTTCACATCCATTTGTGGAGACACCGTTTTCATTGTTTGTGATGTATTTCTGGTATTTTTCCAAGGCAAAAGGCCCAAAAGTCTATAAATAGGTGTTTTAATGGGTTAGTTCACCTTGAAATGAAAATTCGGTCATAATTTACAGGAGTGTTATGAAGCTGAATTAATTTCTTGTGGGTTTGGAAAGACATGAGGGTGAGAAAATGATGACAGATTTTTTTTTGGTGTGAGCCAACCCTTTAAGGCACTTTAATCATTTTCCCAGTAAACAATTCTTCCATCATTTTCTTTGTGACTTTAGTGTCCATGGAGAACTACACTGAAGAGAAAGCCAGTAAGATCAAATCCGAGTATGAGAAGCGTCTGAAGGAGATGAACCGAGACCTGCTGAAGCTGCAGGCCGCTCAGAAGGAGCACGCGCGTCTGCTGAAGAACCAGAGCCGCTACGAGAGAGAGCTCAAGAAACTGCAGTCTGAGGTGGCCGAGATGAAGAAAGCTAAGGTGAGAGCTGGAGCTTGATTTCTAGAAATACATTAGGAGAAAAACAGCTAAACATTTAGTTGGTTTCATCAGCTGTAGAGATAATTGACTGTAATTGAGAATGAAGACATTTACAGTGCAAACCTTTTATTTTAAGAAGGTAATTAAAGCACAAATTTTCCCATGAGTGTGGAATTTTTTATTTTTATTTTTGATGAAAGTAGCTGATTCCTCAGGCATAGACTGTGTCCCAGTTTGCATAAAAGTATGTATGCTGGTAGTGTGGAAAGTGCTTGCTTTTGAGTGTGTTGTGAGATGTACCAGTACTGGAAAAGTGGCAACACATAATAATACAGACACAGAGACTAATGTTCCAAAGTTAGGGGCAGGGTTATTAGAGTTAAGTAAAACTAAAACTTAAAAAGTAAAATAAATAAATAAATTAAAATTAAATAAACTTTAACTGAAGTAAAATAAAGTAAAGCAATTTTTTATTTCAGCTAGTTTAACTTGATGTACCAAAATAACTAAAATGAAAGCTGAAATAAAAATGTATACAAAAAAACTATGTAGACATATATATATATATATATATATATATATATATATATATACACATACACAGTCAAAAATGTGAGGGGTGTACTCACTTCTGTGAGATACTGTATATATCTATATATATATATATAAAATGACAGGAATAAAATGACAAAAAAAAAACCTATAAAATCACAATAACTATAAAATAAATGGAAAATGGAAAATCTAAAAAATAATAGCTAATTCAAAATATTTTTTTGTTTATCAAATAATTAAAAAAAAAATCTCATGGCTTCCACAAAAATATTAAGCAGCACAACTGTTTTCAACATTGATAATAAAAAGAATATAATAATAATAATAATGATGATATGTTTGAGCAAATTAGTATATTAGAATGATTTCTGAAGGATCATGTGACACTGAAGACTGGAGTAATGATGCTGAAAATTCATCTTTGCATCACAAGAATAAATTACATAAAAACATATATTAAAAAAGAAAACAGTTGTTTTAATTTGTAATAACTTTTCACAATATTACTGTGTTTACTGTTTTTTTTTTTTTTATCAAATAAATGCAGCCTTGACTTGGCCGTTTCTTTCCAGTGTGACGAATGAACCAGAAACAAATACAGCCACACATTTTAACACCTCTATTTTCACTTATTTAATAATCCTGGCAAAAAGTAAGAAACATGTTCACAAAATTGAATTAATAATTCAAAATAATGAAATGTACTATAATTTGGGACACATTAATTCTAAAAATTCATTTTTTTATGACACAAATCATGTGAACTGGAACATTGTATTTTTTTAATAATTTTTTTTTTACTGACACTGCATCTAGTTGTTTCTCACAGTGCTTGTTGGTCATCCCATCTCTAGGTGGCGCTAATGAAGCAGATGAAGGAGGAGCAGCAGAGGAGGAGGATGATCGAGGCCAAGAGGAACAGAGAAATCGCGCAACTGAAGAAAGAGCAGCGACGACAAGAGGTTTGACTGATGAACAATTAAAAATGAGTGCTACCACTTGTATATCACGGAGTATAAAGTATTATTTACTCCCGCTGTCTGTGCTCTATTAGTATCAGATCCGAGCTCTGGAGTCGCAGAAGCACCAGCAGGAGATCGTGCTGCGGAGGAAGACCCAGGAGGTGACGGCGCTGAGGCGGCTGGCCAAGCCCATGTCGGAGCGTGTGGCCGGACGTGTGGCCCGCAGACTCACCCGTTTGGACTCCTTAGCAGAGCTGTCCACCGCTACCACAACAACCTCCTCCGAACTGGAATCCACTCGCTCGGTTTCCAGCATCATACGCCAGTGGAATACCAAACTGAATGGATACCTGGGAGAGAATGAGAGCCACGGGACCGGAGGAAACCTGGCCAGGTCAGATTATTAGATACAGCAGTGACTCAATGAATGCTTTTGAAGGAAGTCTCTTATGCTCACCAAGGCTGCATTTATTTGATGAAAAACAAAAACAATCAAATTGGGAAATATAATTACAGTTGAAAATAACTGTTTTCTATTTTCAAATATTTTAAAATGTAATTTATTACAAAGATGCAAAGAAGATTTTCAGCATCATTACTCCCTTCTTCAGTGTCAAATGATCCTTCAGAAATCAGTCTAATATGATGTTTTTGCTCAAGAAAAGTTTATCATCAGTGAATGTTTTCCCGCTTTTTTTGTTAGATACTTTTTCTTTGATCTTGAATTCTTTGAATATAAAGTTCTAAAGAACATTTATTTGAAATCGAAATCTTTTGTAACATAAATGTCTTTACCATCACATTTTATACGTAATTATTTATAAATAAAAACATATTTTTATGATAATGAAATGGTTATAACCAATTATATCAATCAAAACAAATCTTCTTGGATTATTACAATATTTTTTACAGTGTTTTTTTAGTCAGAAATGTCACATTATGGAAGTTAAATGCACAATTTTTTTTTCATTTTATTTTATTTTAAAGGTTATTCTAAGAAATCTTTAATTTAATGGTTAGTCTTAAATCTGTTAGGTGACATTCATTAAGAAAAATATGTTCACAACTGTAGGCTATACACTGTGTGTATATATCTGTATTTGTAGCAGAAAAAAGTTCCAGCGAAAGAGTACGAGCACGAGTTTTTCAAAGACAGCCCGTCAGAAGTGGCAGTCTCTGGAGAGGAGGATCATGGATATTGTGATGCAGAGAATGACCATCACTAATGTGGAAGCTGATATGGATCGCCTCATTAAGGTGATTTTTGCATTTCTTTTTCTTGTATTCTACATGTTACATATCAAAGTGCATTAGTGATCTTCCTGAAACCCTGTGCATTTTTTGCTGCGTAGGATGGTTTTGTAAATTAATGATTTGTGTGTTTAACAATGGAACAGTTCTGCAATAAAGAAGGATTGTGAACTCGATTCAATAATATGTCTCAATGACACTTCCAGAAACGTGAGGATCTGTCCGTGCAGCAGGAGGCGCTGTTGCGCAAGAGAGAAAAGTTACTGAACGAGGGCTTCGGAGAGGATGAGGAGGAGAGGCTCCTTCAGGAGATGAACGAGGAGATTGATGTGCTCAATGCTAACGTCGACTACATCAGTGACAGTCTGTCAGACTGCCAGGCCACCATCGTACAGATCGAGGAGACCAAGGTAAAGGGCATCTCATAAGTGACCGCTCGCTCACCGTATATGTAGTGAGTCACTGGTAAACACACACATAAGTGTTTTTGTTATTGTTTACTTTAGGATGAGCTGGACTCAGTGGACACCTCAGTGGTCATCAGCTCCTGCTCGCTGGCCGAAGCTCGTGCTCTCCTGGACTACTTCCTCAAAGCCTCTATTGACAAGGCAAGTCCGGACAGACAAATCCAACAAAATTGTTAGTTGTTGTGATTTAGGGTCATCCAGAGTAAGTAAATACACAGATTAAAATAATTCATTAGGTCAATAGGACTATTGAAAAAAAAAAACACACATTCACTGCCATTATAAAGCTTGGAAGAGCCAGGACATTTTTTAATTTAACTCCGATTGGATTCGTCTGAAAGAAGAAAGTCATATACAGCTAGGATGGCTTGAGGGTGAGTAAATCATGGGGTAATTTAAATTTTTGGGTGAACTATCCCTTTAAATAGATTAAAAGTGACAGTGAAGGTATTTATAATGTTACAAAAGAGTTATATTTCAAATATATGCTGATCTCTCTATTCATCAAAGAATCTTGAAAAGTTGTTTCACGGTTTCCACAAAAAGCAGCACAACTGTTTTCAACGTAGATAATAATAACAACAAATGTTTCATATTAGAATGATTTCTGAAGGATCATGTTACACTGAGGACTCAAGTAAAGGCTGCTGGAAATTCAGTTTTTCAGTCAGAGGGATGAATTAAGTTTTGAAATATATTTTAAAAAGTTCTTTATATTGTAATGATATTTCACAATATTACAGTTTTTCTGTATTTGTAATCAAATAAATCCAGCATTGGTGAGCAAAAAGAGACTTCATTCAAAAATACAAAAAAATAAATAAAAATGTGTTTGTGTATATAGGGGTTGCAAGTTGCTCAAAAAGAGGCTAAAATTCGCCTGCTGGAGGGTCAGCTGCGGCAGACGGATATGATTGGCTCTTCCCAAAATCACATGATCCTTGATGCTCTAAGGGAAAAGGCGGAGTGTATCCCTGAGCTACAAGCTCTAATCCACAATGTCCAGCAAGGTGAGTGTGTATATATATTAGGCTTGCTGCGATAGATGGTGTTTTCGGTTATACCGGTGTTAAGACGTCATTTGCCTACCCCCAAGTTAAGTAACAAAAATCATTTAGCCTAGTTCAGTTAGAGGACAGACGCTTAAAATCTAAACGCTCAATACAGCGTGCCGAACCGTGCGCGAACTACAGTGCACCACGGAGCAGGAGTCAGATTTTATTTATCACGTGAGGAGAGTGAGTCGAGCTGACTGACAAGAGT